ACATGGCAAATTGTACAACTTATGCATCAATAAGAAAAATTTCTACAGTTTAGAAGGTTTCCAGTTTAGGCTGGGGCTGGGTGCAGCCATTTTTGGAGAAAGAGCCATTGTGAATCATCAAAGGCCATCAGCCAAAGCTGAAATCAGGCCTCTAGCTTCTGATGGCGCCAGGCTCTGAATTGCTGCTTTGTTTCTCTTATCATAGCAACTGTAGGACTGGACTACTAAAATATGTGCTTTCCCTATTGAAATGCTCACACATTTATCTAATGAGGCAATACCTTTTAGAGCCCTTCTGACCTGTTTATTGTTATTTTATAAAATCAGGCAGAATAGTTTGGGTGGGAGAAGAGAAAATGAAAGAGACGCAAAGATTATAAAAGACAAAGGCCACTCTTTCAAAGACGGCAAAATCCATATTTTGGACAGAGAGGACCAATGGTTTGAAAGAGGGATCAAAGAGGCCATCTATGTCAAAATTGAACAGCCCTCTCTCAACAGAGGGGGAGGGATACAACATCATCTATCTCCAGTCTACAACACAGTCCTTTCAACAGTTCTAAGAAGGCTCTACACCAGGGGTGTCAAACTCTCAATGTCACATGAAGTGTCGCGACATATTGTGACTTTTTTTCCATTGCCAGCAATGGGGTGGGCGTGGTTTCAGCATGACACATCCGGCCCATGGGCCGGCAGTTTGACACTCTTGCTCTACACCCATTTGCACTAATCAGGTGACCCTGATGACACAGATAAGCCTCCAGGTGGTATCAATGACTCGTTAAAAGAATGCAAATGACTAACTGTCTGCAAGGAATATACATCCTTCCATTCCCACCATCCAGTCAGAGCTGAAGAAGCTTCTTGGATGAGAAGTGAAATGTCTTCAAAGAGAAAAAAAGGAAGTCCAAAAAAAACCTTTGGGACAACCATGACCTGGATGACTGAGAATCTCCATAGATATTTTGCTCCTTAATAATTTCTGGTCATCTCAAGAGTGCCAGTTTATTGCATGTTCATCCAAAATGGTTGGAAGTGAATAACAGCATGTTGGCTTGCCTGATTCTAGCTTGCATAGAATATTATGTGCATGCTTGGAGTAAAATGCTTAGAGCATGCATGGGATGCTACTGTCATTCACTGGATACTTCCCTGGAGAGTCAACCTTCTGCTCACACAAAACAGGTTATGATTGGGTAGAGATGACATCACACTATTTGACAAGAGATACAAATTGTTCCAAAGGCATCTCTGAATGCAATGACTTTCAAATTCATTCAAGAAGAAATCTTGTTTTAAAAAGCTTTCTGTTGTTCTTATACCAGATGTGCCAAAATTGATACCATCTTTACTTTTAGTTGTGAATGCTGCATGTGTCACACATACAACCAAAGCTGCTAATTTAGCTTATACTGTTTTTGGCTTACTAAAAAGCATTAATTGAAAGCTTTGATTGACCAGCATCATGATGGGCAGCAAGTTTAATGTCTATGGGTGCATCTGACCATGTCAAATGGAAGGTGGAAACTTGTAATATAAGATAGCTAAACAGTACAACTTAAAAGAAATGAAAGAGGAAAATGTGTGTCTAGGAAACAAAGAGAAAAGAGAAAGCTATAACAGATCTGAATTACAGTGTTATGATCTTGTTAGGTTGATCACAAAATGGAAGAAACCAAGAAAATTGGTTTCATTAACAAACATTAGTGGCAGAGGAGCACTACATGGAGCCAGAAGCATATTTCCCGATAACTTCTTCCAATATTCCTTGGTAATAACTGTACTTAATGTCAAACCACTGAGTCATCATTGGTTGAGAATTCTGGGTATTTCAGTCTCAATATATCTAGAGAATGCCCAGCTGCTTTAGAAGGCAAAGTATTTTGTATGCAGATGGCAAAGATACCTGAGATGGAATGGATCTATGCAGCCATCTCTTACATTTGCCTTTTTATCAGCCCAATTACTAGTATTTCTTAGTAGTATTTCTAATATTCTTTCTCCCAAACCATGTATCAAAATTCTGTATCTATCTATCTATCTATCTATCTATCTATCTATCTATCTATCTATCTATCTATCTATCTATCTAATCTAATCTATCTCTAGGTGAAATGAATCCTGGTTCTTCTAGAGTTAAATCTTTAAAATTAGGTCTTGCTGAAAGAAAGCTGGCTTGGTATCCTAGCAACCACTGCATGGGATGCTACTGTCATTCACTGGATACTTCCCTGGAGAGTCAACCTTCTGCTCACACAAAACAGGTTATGATTGGGTAGAGATGACATCACACTATTTGACAAGAGATAGAAATTGTTCCAAAGGCATCTCTGAATGCAATGACTTTCAAATTCATTCAAGAAGAAATCTTGTTTTAAAAAGCTGTCTGTAATGCAAAGCTTTCTTGAAGCTTTGGACTACAGTTGCCACAGAGTTGAAGAAAAGCTTCTGGATTCATAAAGCAAAATTTCTGTAAAGGTATCATTCCATCCTTGAGAGCCTTCATTAGTTTAGCTAACCTTAGCAAGAGAATCTGTAGAAAGAAAGGTGAGTGAGTAGACACAGCTATTATTGATTACATAAGAGAAGTGAAAGAATATTTTTCAGACATCCAATTTGTTTCCACATTTCAGGACATTTCTGAATGAATACAAGTCTTGTACAAACTTATATGAAAGGAGGCAATGTATACGTAGGCAAAGCCTGTACAAGTTACAAGTGCATTTTACTCCTTGAACCAAATTGTGTCACATGATTAGGGATTACAATTATGCAAAACATAGACACAGACTACTATCTTTCAGAATATAAATGATATTTCCTTTTTTCCCCCTTCTAAAACACTTTTCCAATCTGGAATTTTCCAGATATGATGAACTTTATTTCCTATAGAAAAATGCTGCTGAATTATGGGAATTAAAGTCCAACAAAACTGCAGGGCACCAGATTGAGGAAGGTTCTTCTACAAGCTTCCGTATTATTTAACATATCCATGAATCTATCTATAAACCACCCCTCTTCTCCTAAAATGCCACTTCACTTAAATTAATAGACACTGGCAGCAAGTTGATGTTGAAAAGCTAGCTTATATGACTTAGTTTACATAGTCAAGTAATTGGAATTCATGCTAAACCTTCTCCAGCCCTGAGAGGACTGAAGTTTGCAAATTCCCAACTACTTTTTCAATTATGGATTTGGCAGTATGCAATGGGGAGGCTGCTTAAACTCTGGATTTCTCTGCTGCCTATCACAAGTTACTAGCTGGCTTTCCATGTTGCTCAACAGCTGGGCATTCTCCTTTCATATGGATGTTGCCGTATTGATCACCAATATCTCCATTTATTAGGATGTCAAAGGAAAGGAAAACATCTTGCTTACAATCATGGAATTACCACTGCATTACCAGAAATTTTACATTTAGATATCACAACCTTTAAACATGTATTTATATCTCATCTTTCCTTCAGAAATTTGAAGTGCTGGATATAGATCTTAGTCCACCCATTCTAATTCATCTTAGCAGCAAACATGTACAATAGGATAAGGTTAAGTGTAAATTACTGGCCCAAAATCACTTTGCAAGATGGATGATTGGGCTGTTTATTACCCAGTTCTAGATCAATACTCTAATCACTGCTCACTGCTTCATGTGACTGCATAGTTTGAAGCAGCCGGCTGAATTAACCATGCCAACAAATGTAATAAAACACTGAAGGCTTCTACTGTGTTTTCCCGAAAATAAGACCAGGTCTTTTTTTTTTTTTTTTGCCTCCAAAAGAGGCACCAGGTCTTATTTTTACCTCACCTCCAGCACCGACAGCCCCACCCAGCCGGTCCACTTCTTCTGGGGTCGAAGTTCTGTAACTGCATTCTGGGCTGCATTTTACAGTCAGGCCTTTCCAGAAGACCTAAGCAGCCAAGTACCGAGCTACGGATTCAATCCGTAGCTTGGTGTTCAGCTGCTGAGGTTTTGCAGAACTGAGCTACGGATTGAATCCATAGCTTGGTTCTTGGCTGCACAGGCCTTCTGGAAAGCCCTGTGACTGAGAAATACAGGCCTGGCTGCAGAAGAGGTGGGCCAGCAAAGAAAGGCCTAGGTAAGTGGGTGCAGGGTGGGTGGGGTAGCTCCAAACCCCCACCCATGCCCTAGCTTGATTTTTAGGTGTGTGCCTCACCTCAAAACTAGGACTTATTTTTGGTGTAGGCCTTACTTTTGGGAAAACACAGTAATATTAACCTAATTTTCCAAGGTCACATTTTACTTCACCTTAGGACAACCCTGTGTTCTTCCATGTGAGAAACAAAAGAAGCAGCACAAAACTTTGACTCTGATCTTTGTAATGGAATTTCAGAATATTGCAGGGAAAACTGAAATGATCCCTTGAATGACAATTGAAACCATCAAGAAACCACCTGACGTTCTTCCAGCATCTGTCACCCACAAACCATCTTTTATATTATTGAAACAGGTTTTAGAGGGAAAAACATTTCCTATATAAATGAAATTGGAACCATAACCCTTAATGTGTCTGCATGCAGGTGAATGGTGGCTTTTTAGTAATTGCAAGAACAGAGCAAATGACAGAAAACTGAAGGGTCAAGAAGCACGCAACCAAGAATTACCTCTCATATGGGTGTCACACTATAGCTAATATGCAAAACTTGTAAAGTCCAGTCCAGTTCCTCCACCCCAAATTTGTTGGGTGAAGTTTTTTTGGGGGGGGGTGTGTGCTTTTGAGTCACTGTTGATTCCTGGCAAATGCCTTGAAAAGCCCCTGCCATTTTCTTGGGAAGATTTCAGAAGTTGTTTGCCATTGCCTTTTTCTTAGGAGAGAATGACTGGTCCAAGGTCACCCAGGTGGGTCCCCCAAGGAGTTCACAGTCTCCTGGTTGCTAGCCTAGTACCTTAAATCACTACACCAAACTGATGTTGCATTTTTATGGAAAGTGTAAAATAACGTTTTGCTGTATTAGCCAAAATGCAAAGAATTACTCCAAAGTGTTAAAAAACAAAGTTTATTTTGAAATACTTTATCATAATGAATTGCATCTCTTTGGTAAAAATAAACTCCATCAACATTTTAATTAATAGAGGTTAGCATACAAAAACATTTTTAAACCAGGTCAACTACTAAACGGGGCTCAAGGAATTTCAGGTTAGAAAGGGGTTAATCTACTGGCAGAGTTAGTCTCAGTCAATCCAAAAAGTTGCAGGGGCAGGTGGTGAGGAGAAACAGCTAATGTAAATTTTAAAAAAAAAGAATTTTGCGTACTTTGATCTGAAAGCATTCTTACAATTTCCATTTTTAATAAATAATAGTTACAATGAATTGGCAATTGTAAATGGTCTATCACTACAAGATGGCAATGTAATACTTTTAAATTATACACTTTAAGTCTGAAAAAAATACACTTCCAAAAACAAATCTTTTCTTGGCACTGGCAATTAAACTGGAGAATGTGCTTTTTCAAATAAATGCAGCAGGTACAAGATTTTAAAAAATACTCTATTCCTCTTTTTCAATAAATATTTTGACTACCCCATCATTAGCATTGCAGGGTGTGCTTTGCTTTTACTGTCGTATTTGCTTTAGCCAAATAAAGAAGCTGCAAACTGTTCCAATTTAAAGTTGGGCTTTTCCAAGAAAGGCTGCCTGCACTTCTCCCAGAAGCTATAATTTAGCTCCAGAATATGAAATGGAGAAAGATTTGCACAATACTGACATCAGCTTCTACCTCAAGAACAGGTGGGTCTTCCGCAGAAAGCCCTCCATGATAATTTTTAGGAGTTGAAGAGGATCAGGTAATATTCCACTACCACCTCTTTTTTCCCTGAAGCTAAAACTAATTTTCTGAAAGGAATTTACTTTTTTAAAAAGAATAAAATAAAAATAAAGGTAAGATTACACTTTGCATCTAAAACAAACCATGTCCATATCTGCTTCTCCTGACTATGAAGCATACAATCACTGGCCAAGGGCCACAATCTGCACACACTTCCTCACAGGTAGTAGACAACATTATAGAATACATCAATGCAGCCTGACCAAGAGCAAATGATCCCATATGTTAATAGGGCACAGACTGGCTGGCCTAGGGATGTTCTCTGTGCAGCAAGTACGTGTCACACATATCAGTTCCGCACTATTAAATCATTGCAACTGTCCCTAGCCGTTTTTTTTCCTCCCAAGAGATTTAGCTATGCTGAGAAGGACTACTAGGAGTTTATAGGACCACCACATGCAGACAATACTTGTTTGAAGAAAGCTAATTTAACACATCCTGAGATGCATGCAATGGTGCTAAATCATCCTATTTCCCTTTCTTCTGAAATGTACAAAGCCATTAATATATCTGTAGTCATCCCAAATTCCCAACATAGGTTCCTTGTTTTTAGAAGCTAATGCATCAGGAAGGAGTCTAGTCTACTAATGTTCTATGTGCAAGAATTATCCTTTCATGAAACAAACTCTATTGCTGTTCTGTATTGAACATCCACATAGGGTGTGGATACATGCTCAATCTACATCACAGCTACTTCATAATAATAGATCTCTAACCTTGCTGATAAGAACCTTGGCCATTCCCATTTGTGCTGGGCTGGCACTAGAGCACACAAACTTTAGAGGGGAGAGAGATGCATGATTACAATAAAAGCCTAATTTAATAATCAAACAAAATAGCACACTCTGGATGTGTTTTAGACCAGGGGTCCCCAACTCCTGAGCCATGCCTATTTGCCACCAGGCTGCACAAGTAGCAGGTCGGTGTACACAGCTCCACTTGTGTGAGTGGCAGGCCAACATGTACACGGCCCAGTTCCCCTTCCCACCAGCTGGGTCCCCAAGCCACAAAATTTAGGGACCACTGTTTTAGACATACCAACAAATAAAATGAGGACTTGCCTGTGAAAATATGAAAACACTTATTTCTCTTTGAAAATTAGAACAGTAAGTTCAGCGTGAATTTTGGCCATAGGAAGACACATATATTTTGTGAATACGGCTAGTAAAGGCAAAAAAAATAAATAAAACAAAAAATGCAGCTTTCCCCCATATCCACAGGAACTTGGATATGGCAGTTCCCTTCTTCATAGAATTTCCACAATGAATTTGGAGATGAATCAAATCTAACATATTACAAAATATTCTAGGGAAAGTACATGTGTAAATCCCTGCTTAGGATCACCTCAAAATGGGGGGGGGGTGCAAGATGTCATATTTTTGCAACTCAAAAAGCACAATGCATATAGTAAACAAGCATATAAGGAGGAAAAATCTAAACCTCTATTCAATATGCTATTTGCTACCTGCACATATATTACTTCCCATTTATAGGCAGAAATTGTACAATCAGAGGATTTCCCAAAGTCGTCCTGTATAAGGTAACTAAGATTGCAAGCATCTACAATCATAGTTCTTTAAATCTGGACTTTTTGAAGCATCTGTTCTCACCAAATGCTTTTATTGCTCTGCCTTTGGACTTGAAGACCAACAGGGAAAGTGCTACTAATGTTAATGATCACTATACGTTTTCTATCATAGAGATGACATTAGACTTTTTCTTAATGGTAGGACACTGAAAGACAATTGTGCACACATCAACATTTGTCTGAAGAAAAGAGACTGCAAACAGACTTTTAACAGGTCAAATGTAAGACGACAAAACTGAGCAAAGGAGCTCTTAGGGAAAGTAGCCTCAAGCATGAAAATCTGGCCAATTTGTACTGAGAACTGAACTCAACTTTTCTCAACTTTCAAAAAAACCCAAAGAAACACATTTCTTTATAACCATATTACCTGCATTGCTATGGAAACAATTTTCACATCACGCAAGTTATTAAACACACATTTTGGACAAATGTTAAATGGGACATCTCTGCACAACATACAGGACTTAAAATGTGCCTTGGCACTTAATATACAGGCTTGCTTATAAATTTGTGAGTGGTGACTTTATATTAAATCCCCATGCTGTAGGTGCTCTGGATCATGTATATAGTACAATATTCTTCACTTAGCCACATTACCATATAGAAAACTCCATTTCATAGGAAGGATATATGACTAGAACCATTCAAAAGGTCAAATGAGAATTTTGCTTTCTCTGAATTTCTGTAAAAGTCTTCCAACTCCCATGATTGGGTGAGATTTTTGTGAATCAATTCTACCCAGTAACAACCTGATTACTGAGCAACTATACAGTATTCCTGTTTATCGACTGCTTCTTTTATTTAATGTAGGTACCTTTTGGCAGAAAACAATATACTTCTCAAGCATACAAAGAGCCTTAAATAACCCTGACTTAGAATATTTGCAGGGCATTCTAGGCTTTCAGATGATTTTTCTTACAAAAGTAAGAACTACTAACACTGTCAGTTATTTTTTGTAGTAGTCATACAATGGAAGACCCTATTCAAAGAAGGGCAAATATTATTTAACAGCAAAGAAAACCAATACACTGAAAGCAATTTTTAATCCATAGGTCTTTTTCCAATTCTCAATCACTATGCTATGGTGGAACTTGCAATACTGATTAATGAAATGAAAAAAACAGGAAGTTATACAAAATCTATTTGACTTGGAAGTAGACCCTTACATAACTCCTTCCTTAGCAAAACCTAATCAGCAGGTTATTTCAAAAGTGATTGTGGCAAACAGGCAGTTTTTCACCAATCCATGAGAATTCTGGATTGAAGAGCTGAAGCAGGCAATATACAGAATGAGCACCATTTGTGTTTAAACTTGACATCAAAGAAAGTTGTCTACAAACAGGTGAGCGTGCAAACATCCATGCATTAGATTTTTGTTTCTGTCTATAAAATAACAATGTGATTACAAGGTTGACTCACTTATAGGTTGCTATCATTTTAACAAAAAAAATTATTCTGAAATACTAAAAACTACATAATTTCTTACAAACTTAAGGCCTACACCAGGAGAATCTCTGCTGATATTATTCTAATAGCACTGTCCTGGGTGTGCTGGGACTGCAAATCTCAAAAATTCCATTGTTCATGATGCCTGGGAATTCTGTGACTTGCAGTTACACTTCAGCTGGATGTTGCCAAATTCAGGGAAGTTGTAACAGTAGCAGCATTCAACAAAGTAGGGCTGTGCAGTGCTTTGCATTCTAAGGCAAAAAAGGTCATTGGAGCATATGGGGTGTGAACATTACATCTCTCTGTTTTTTTTTTCCTAATTCAAAATACCTGCCAGTTGCTGGGAAAACTCAGGAAATGATAAATGTGATTTAAGAGATTGTAGATAGGTGCTATGCGATTGTCCCTATAAGCTCCGAAGGACCATTTTGCCTTTGAATCTAAAACTATACACAAGCTTACAATAAACCTCAAGGGGGGAGGGGTCACTCCTTTTAGTTCTGGAGCTCTTATAATCAGTCCAGTTAGGATCACTGGAACCTGGCTAAGGCATTGAACTCCTACAGAACATTTAACAAAAATTATAGTGACAGAGTTTTTAGCAGATAGAAAGAGACAGTATGGAAGAAAAGGCAGTGAAGTTAAGTCCCGGACATTTATATCTTTGTCACTTTTGTCACTTAGAAGCCAAAGCAGCTCTATGTCATCAATAGAAATGTAATGTACAACTCACAAGAATGCAAAATGCAGAGAGGTAACAGGCAGATTTGCTCAAACGGCCACTAATGGACTCTCTTCCCTTCATTCTCAAAGCATGGAAAATGTGCAGATGAAATGCCATTTGTCAAGCTGCTTTCCAAACAAGCAATGCTTTGATCATTATGCAACATTCAAGACATTCACAGGACACAACAGCCCCAGCCTGTAGCATGCAAACATTTCTTCTGCAAGTGACCACTGAAAAGTAATAGAACTGCATTAATAGACTGCAGCCAAAGACAGCTGTGCCAACTTGGAGATTCCTGTTTTTCTGAGTTAAGATCACTGTTTCCAGTGCTTTGCCTAGCTGTTTGTTACAACCAGGGGCGCTTGCCATATGACTCCAAATTCATCAATATGGCTGATGGTAACAACAAAAAGATGTCTGGATAATACAGTTTGGCCCTGCACTTCAGACTATCCCACAGGCAAATAACTGCCCTATTCCAACTGTGTATTAGCTTCCAATCAACACAGCAATGTTAGTAGCCCTATGTCCTCTCTTATGGCCCCCAGAATTGAAAAGATGCACAACTGTTTCTGAATAAATGCCTAGGAGAGGCACAAGTCCACAATTTTAGGCAGCTGGGGATACACAAATGACATCAGGACACACATCCAGAATTTGAATTTCCCAGTACAGTCCACAGAAACAGGTAATTCTCATACTACATGGTCCATGCATTATAAATATTATGTTCCATGCAACTGTCACGCTGCATCTGGACTTATCTCAGAATTCAACAAGGGAGATTATATTATTGCTGAAATAACAGATATAAAACATAAACAAAATCCATCCCATCTCCAAGAAAAATGGAGGCTGCCAGGAGTGGATAATATGTATCTCTAAGCTTCCTCTGTTGTTTCTAGGAATGCTGGGTTAAATCAAAGCAAAACTGAAAAATGCAGGGCAGGGGAAGTAGTCTGTTAGAAAGTGCCACAGAAAGCCCTTGTTCTCGCTCAGGTGATACACAGCTGAACTATACTGCTGCAAAAAACAAGAAGAATCTCTCATGATCATCCCGTTATAATTTTTAAAAGCTTTACTCATAAAGAATCAGGGAGAAAATTAGTCTAGAATTGTTCAGCCAACAATGACTTTTCAATGCACTTATTTCTGTTGCATATGGAATATAATTCCATTATGGTTTGCAAAGTGATGCGCTAGAGCCCCCCAAACAACTCTTAGCTTATTAGTAACAAGTATCAACTACTTTAACCTAAACAAAATTCAAGTTCTCTGTGCAATGGTCATTTGCAATTGAGCAGTCACTCTTTTGCACTTAATTTAGATAACAAGACAGAAAGAAGGGCCTCAGATTTGCAAACAGATGTATACATCATTGATCCAATATATAATAATTACAATTAACACAAACACAAGAGAAAGAACCAGCTCCTTACCTTGTGTTAAAAATAGGAAGAAACTTCTAGATTACCCATTCAAGATTCCACTCTCAAAAATAGGAAGATTCACGTGTTGTATCTCTCCCCTACCCATCAATTTTATAATTGCAAATACCAGTCATCCTGCAACTGATTATCATGGCAGTTTTATACCATTCATGTAATCACAGACCCTTGATTTGTAAATTGAGGAAATCAGTTAACAATGGAAGCTAAAGCTGAAGGCAATAACAACATGTCTTGCTCTGCATTCGATATCACCAAAAAAAAAAAAAAAAATGGAAACACTGTGGACTCCATAAGCAGTGAGAACTGGGGACATTACCTGCTTAGTCCCAATTTCAGAGGGGCCTCTACACCTTCAGGACTACCAGATTCATGCATATTGAGCACCAACTGAGAATTAGATATTTGTATGTGTTGTTTGCTTAATTTTTATTACCCCATTCTGAGGACTAAGAATTATATAATTTAGGCCTATTTTACATAAATGAAATATATTTCATTCACTCAGTATCTAATCCTCAACACTAGAGAGACAGAGATCTTTTCCTTGGTGTGATCAACCCCTTTGCATCTAGCATCTTATTCTAAAGTACAACATACAAAAAACTTGTAGGCCTAGAAACTGAAGAGGCATATTGGGAAATGGCAAGCAATTCTCTTCTCCACAATATGCACACTTTTTAAAGAATCTCTTATGCATAGGACCATTCATTCCACTTATCTGTTGGACCCTACATGCCACACCTTTAGCACAAAATGACCCAGCCAATGATATCCATGTGAATCAACCATTCCAATGATAATAATGAATATTCTGTTTCCTTACAATTATTGAGACTTCCTCATCCATTTCACACAATTTTGGTCGGCCCTTCAATGCACAAATTAATTGCTCTTATAATTAAAAATAATGTAATTTTATAAATGGCAAAATTATAATCTGCAAAAATTAAGAACAAACAAAAAGTCCTTTTATGGCTTTGATCTCCCTTGCAAAGGGTAAAAGGAGGAATATTGCCAGCCTAAAAAATAAAACATGTATATAGATATAGATAGATAGATCAATTATCTTCACACTGTGTTGTCATTTTTTTTCCTTCTCTTCTGGGTATGGCTCTTTGCAGTACTTATTAGTGAGCCGAGACAAGTGCTGATCCCAGCAAGATGAAGAAGAGACCCAGCAGCCTCTTTGAGTTCATCATCAATTTCTTGGCAGAGTTCCTCCAGGACCTTCTGATGAGGCTGGGCCTCATCTGTGATACTGACACATGGCTGTGAGGTATAACCACTGTCTGCCAGAGAATCATCATCATCTTCGTTGTCATCTGTGTCCACCTCACTCTGAAATCCTTCACTGCCATCACTCCCTGTCCGGGTGGCCTCTGAGACAAATTTGTATACATCATCAACAGAGGACAGGGAAGACATGCTAGAGAGTGATGCGCAACGCTGTGCAGCCACACTGCTGGCACTATAATTGTGGTCCTCCTTGGGGTCAATGTTGGGAACTGCTGGATCGCCCTCTTCCTGGGTGTGGTTATGGAATGTGCTACCATATTTCCTTTTCTTGGAGAGCTTGAGAGATGGTGATTTTTCACCTAAGAAAAAACAAGAATCTTCTGAAAATTCAAGGGAGACAATGAATCCAGTAAACATGTTTCCACATTTAAAGCATCAGGAAACGATGCAATTAAAACCCAGCTAAGAATATGAATGAAATCCTTTATTATATAACCGTTCCCTGTTTTTATTTCTTAGCTGAAATTTTAGATCATTCACTTCTGGAATATTTTTCATTATGTAAATCAACAAAGTATTCTCTAAGGGTGTTGGACTTCTACTTCCCTAGACAGCGTGTATAATAGTTCTACCGCCTGAAGGTTTATGGAAATTAATGTTCAATTTATGGACTGCATCAGGTAGGGAATACGTTGCTATGTTATTTGACACATCTCCCTCTCTCCTTCATCACACACAACCTCTTCTTTCCTCCCTTTCACTTTCTGCTCATTTTTTTTCTGGTTTCCAGGGCACTGACTCAATATTTTACCATCCCAACTCCCACATCCCCTTCTTCAGTGTTCAATGAATTTTCACAAGTTCCACTACCACTTTATTTGAAAATTGAACCTAATCATGGAATTAATAATTCTGCTCAGTCTGGAAGCGAGTGACTTACTGGGCATGCATGCAATCTTTAAGAACAGATCCAGTAGATCTAACAAACAAAGAGCTGGGCAACCATCTTTCTCTCGCTAATAACATCTTATGAGGGACAATATTTTGGGAGTAATTGTTGATTTAAACCAAAGCTTTAATTGTTAAGTGGATAAGGATCTCAATCCCTTCCTTTTGAAATTTTATATACACACAACACAAATATATCACTCTTCCAATCAATTGCATGGAAATAAAACTGTATTGGAGGTTTGTATGAATCTCTGGCGGATATTCTAAAATATAGGTAATCCTCAATTTATCACCACAACTAGAACTGGAATTTCTGTCATTAAGTCATTACGGTCATAAGTCAAGTTGGACCTGACTTAATGACAATTTTTATGGTGGTCATTAAGCAAATCCAGCTTTCCCAATGGGTATTTTTTGCCAGAAATTGGCAAAAGGTTGAAAATCATGATCACATGGCCATAGGAAGTTGCAACCATTTGTAAATGTGAGCTGGTTGCCAAGCACCTGAATTGCATTCACACAATCATAGGGTAATGTAACAATCAGATCATAAGCACTTTTTTCCAAGGCCGTTATAATTTTGAACCATTGTTAAAAAAATGTTAAATTGAGGACTACCTGTAAAACTAAAGGGTATATGAAATAATCCCATAGGCCACATGTTCCCCATACCTGCATCAGAGGCATCTAATCCAGGATCCTGATTCCCAGAGAGCAACCAGGTGTCTTGGGGAAACTGACAATAAGGGCAATAGCTATCTATGCCAATACTGCCTTCAACTGAAACTTGGAGGCCTACTACCTCCACAAGCATGCTGTTAACAGAACAGTTTTCCATGAATGTTTCTAACACCTCTCTGAAATTATCAAAGGTAGTGAACTTTGCATTGTGGTTGCTAATTCCATAAATTAATAAAACTATGTGAGAAGGGCTTTCAGTTTCCCGGAATCTCCTGCCTATTACTTTCAGTGGATGATCCTGAGTTCTGGGTTAGGAAAGAACAAAAGAAGGGGGAAGAAAACACTTCTTCCCTACCAGGAAAAAATAGTAACATCAAAGCTGTAACTGGTGTAACCAAAGTTGCTTTAAATCTTTCTCCATCCCCTTTGTTCAGAAAATGCTACATAAGTTCTATCCCATTTCCTTTAAACAATCCCAGAATTGTTTTAGTTGCCCTTTTTCAAATGATTTTGATTGATTTCAAGGTCAGGATCACACATGGGTGAAATTACTAGAGCTCTAAGTAACCTGAGAAGTTGAAAAAACATGACAAGGTGTTTTTGGAATAAAACTTCTGTGTAGTTGCCAAGAAAGCTTCATGGATATGTCTATGAAATCACCAGGAGTCAAATGACAATTTGAGGGAGATTTTATATCTTTTAACAACTTTTCCGGGCCCATAGCAACTCTAAAACTTGGCAACAGTATTCCCAGTGAGACTTTCTGCTAAGCAATCAGATTTCCATTATTTATTTCACTAGAAAAGCAATTAAGGTTTTTTTTTAAAAAAAAAATAAAGATTCTAAATGAACATCTTTCTATTAAACTGTCAATTGTTTAAACTCAGACATACTTTTAAAAATGTATAGTTAAAATAAATTAAAAAAACAATATTCTTTGAAAAGAAAACAGATTTATTGTACTTACAATCTAAAATGTCTTGTTCAATGGAAGTATTCAAGAGCATCATGGCAGTAGCAGCATCAATATCTGAATCTGAAAATCAGAAAAAGAAAAAAGCACCCCATGTCATTAACCTCAATTAAGTTTGATCTAGAACAGTATGATTATCACAGAATAACCTGTCAGAATTTGTTCCTGGCAATTTGGATTGGAAACAATTATCCAAAGAGCAAGACTCTTAGAACTTTGATCAGTAATATTTATCAGAAAATGATTAATATAACCCAAATCTCAGCAATTAAGTCTGCTTTCAAATGAGAAACCTCTATACAGAACATTTAAAATGGCAGTTCTGGTTTCTTTTCTTATGTTTTTTCACTGCAAAAGCTGATTTCATATCAAGGTGAGGCACTTTTCATCTGTTGATTGCTTTTTTTAACTGCCACCAGATTTCTTCTCATTGCAGGATGTTATTCTCACAGAGTTATCTAAGGCACGGGTGTCAAACTCGCCACGCCATGTAATATGTCGCGACATATCGCAACTTCTTTTGCATTGCTGGAGCTGGGGTGGGCGCGGCCTCCGTACAATGCAACCAGCCCATGGGCTGGCAGTTAGTCCCCCCCTGATCTAAGGCAACAAAAACTTGCCATACTTCTCAAGCAATACAGGTAGTTCAAATAATACAAACAAACCACTATTGAAACTTCAAATGAAAGTTTCTAATCTTAGTACTCTTAGTTTTCTGATTTGTTATCTGTACAAATGCTGTGATCAAAGTCTTTCTTTGCAACTATGAACAAGTTTTGAGTTCAAAGTCTTCCTTCTCATGTGATCAAATTCCCTTATATCAATAAAGTACAGTTCCAGGCAGATTTGTGGAATCTGTTTCTGATCTGCCTACCTTAAAGGGTTGACCAATTCAGACTTTTTAACAAAAGGTAGGTAAAGGGTCAACAAAAAAAATTCTTACCTTTGATAGATCGTCCCTGACACTGTTTCCGAATTGAGGTTAAATAGCAAGGAGATGATGAACCACTGGAAGAGAGGAAAAAGAACCTCAAAATTCAGAATCTATGCTATGGAAGACAAAATTAACGTGAGCTAATCATATTTTCAGCTGTTATGATTTCAATACACATAATAATTTTAAAAGTATATAACAAACTCCAGGAACTTCCAAATGGATCCTCAAATGAACCATACCAAACTGATTTCTAAACCAACTATTAGAGAAAGATACCAGTTTTCTATTGATTCCAAACCATGGCACATCAAAACATTTTAAATATGTGATCCATCCTTTTTTTTATTAGTCATGTTTCAATCTTATACCTAAATATTGGAAACAGGACAAACTGATATTGAAAAAGATTATCCAACCAGGTGTACTCATCAGACTAAGGACTGGCTGCAGCTCCCTTTATGGTTCCACTTGATTACTATATCATAAATGAAACAGCACCTTTAATTGAACTGGAGTAGGCCCACTATTTCCTCAATAAAGCACTTAACTGGCATAGAAAAGATCCCAAAGTTTCTAGCATTTTCAATTTAAAACCTTATAGCAGGTTATCTAAAATATATTTGTCTAAAATCATAGAAAGTTATCTGCCCACCAAAATAAAATATGCTGAATTATGCAGATGTTATACAAGCTACTAACAGGTTTTCTGAACTTATTTGCTACTGCTTTCTAAAGATCTCTTAGCCTTTTACTGCATCTTGTCCCAGAACAAAATGCCTGGATCAGGCTTTATTTCAGGTCACACATTACTATCTGGCACAAAGCCTGAAACTTTTGTCCAGAAGTAAATGACGTTTTCTAATGCTGAAAGGTTATCCTCATCTTACGACCACAATTGAGCCAAAAATTCCTGTTGCTAAGTGAGACATTTGTCAAGTGAGTTTTGCTTCATTTTATGACTTCTCTTGCCACAGTTAAGTGAATCACTGCAGGTGTTAAGTTAATAACACAGTTGTTAAGTGAATCTGACTTCTCCATTGATTTTGCTCGTCAGAAGGTTGCAAAAGGTGATCACGTGACCCCAGGATACTGCAACCGTCATAAATCTGAGTCAGTTGCCAAGCATCTGAATTTTGATCACATGACCATGGGGATGATGCAATGGTCATTAAGTATGAAAAATGGTCATAAGTCACTTTTTTCATTGCCTTTGTAACTTCAAATGGTCACTAAATGAATTGTTGTAAATCGAGGAGTACCTATACATCAAGACTATTTTGGAAGAGGGTCTAGGAGCAGCTTGTCCTTCTTGCAGTGCTGCACTTACCTCAGGGCAAATGATTTCCATACTTTAAAATGCCTATGTAATTTTCAAAGGCTTTCTAATCTATAAAGCAGTACTTACGTCTAATCAATGGGAAAGCTCTTGGTTTGATATTCAATTCACCTGTATTGTAAAAAACTATATCACCAGAAACATTGAGATACTGCTAAGAAACCTGAGCCTACATCTTCAAGTTATTACATGCTAATTTATATTCACATCAGCTCCTGAAGACTAAGAATGGAGTATACCTGCACTATAATATTATATTATACACTCCCTAGAACAGACCTGGACATTTTATAGTCCCTGGGCTAATCTGGCCCTTTGGCTATCCCTGTCCGGCCCACATAAGGTCAATTGGAAATTAGAAATCAAATGTAAGTAACTATATGCTATGTTCACAATACAACTGCATTGCTTTTATTATTTTGAAGGGGAGTGCTTTTTTTTTTAATTTAAGTATATGTGTGCATGCCTAGACATTATCACAGCTGTATGGGTTCCACCCTCTATAAGAATCCCAGTTTATCATGTGGTCCAATTAATTGCTCATCCCTGCTCTAGAGCAGGCATGTCAAACTGCCGGCCCACAGGCCAGATGCATCACACTGAAACCGCACTCACCCCATTGCTAGCAATGGGGAAAAAGTCCCGATATGTTGCGTGACATCACAAGTTTGACATGTCTGCTCTACATCAATGAGAAACAAGCTAAATGATGGATTTGTGGCTTTTTAAAAAAGTTAAAAGCTCTGAAGCTTCAGCCCTTATATACATTATTCAATTTAATTTAATAGTGCTGTTTTACAACATTTCAAATTTCTTCTCCAGAATTTAAGAGTTAGTGGACAATTATCACTGAGACATCTTTTATAGATAGCCCACGTTATGGACCCCTTTCCCTTGACCCCTTCTTTTTAACCTTTTAGCCTCAGGCAATTTCAGGCAATATCCTAAGTGTATTAATACAGGAGTCACCAGAATCAAAACAATGTGAGGCAACCTGATTTTTTTCCATCCTTCTTTCACTCTAGTACTTCCCAAAGGCTGGCACTATCTTTGAAAAGTTAGGGAGGGTTCATCTGGGCCCTCAAGTCTATACTGACCATTCTTTTAATGGATTTATGACTCTTTCAAATTGTCTTCTGAAAGTTTTTCTAAATTGCTTTTTGAATTACTCATTTCACTTCCTAATTGGCCTAATTTTTATACCATCTTATTTTTTATTTATTGCTTACGTATATTTTACCATACTAAGTCTGTTATTGTATTTCAATGTTCTTGCAGCCATCTTAAAAATTACATCGACAGCAAAATATAAGTATCAATGGTATTAATATTTTAAACAACATTCTATATTTAAAGGTTCAGAGACCTATTTTTAAGGCTAGATATGGCACAAAACAAAGAATGCAAGACACTGCAATCTAATACTGTAACAAACATGCACTTTTGGTGATAGCTAAGTTGGAAAGTAGAAAAAAATCTCAATAATATAAAGTGATATAGCAGAAATTTTATTTCTGTGCCTCACTGAATGTGCAATGCTCCCAAGAATAGAAAACAAAATTCATTCATCTTTTTTGTCCAGTTATTGCTAGGCATGAATGTAAGTCTGAATTTCAATCTCACATACCTGTGCTTCAAAAAAATTCATCTCATCCTTAATACTTCTTCAGAAATTTCATCATTTTTAGATTTTTTCTTTAAAAGGCCTTATGCAATTGTATCAATTTTTTTAAAGTGTCTTTTCTGTTAATTCCTTTATTCAGTTGTAATTTCATGTGAAATATAAGCTAGTTTTCTCTCTCAGATTATTGCCACACTACAAGTCATCATGGCCTTGAAAGGAGCTGCAAAAGCCTCTTTGTCTTGTAGGTGCTTGATACATCCCGGAGGTAGCCAGGGCAGAGACCCAGGAGCAAAAGTAGCTCTGTCCTCTTCTCCACAAGGCCGTCTGTGGTATTTCAGGCTCATATGGTGCATTGGGATTTGGATCATGCCCCAAATCTTACTCTTGCTATTACCTCTTCCAAAATGAACAATGTAACACAAAAATTGTATCAGACAATTATTTTTCTGTAAACTTACACTCTAACTAGAAAGTATATGAGAATTTTGTAATTAATTCATAATCTGCAAACCAGGGGGTTTATGGTCTCAAAATATTAAGCAAGAAGCTTTATCACCTGTCTTATACAGAATCCTATACATCTCTCAAATATCACAATTAAATTCCTTTTTTTTTAATCCCAGTATCATAATCCCAGTAACTATGATAAAAGGCTGACTACTGAGAGGAAAATATATAACTGCCTTGTTCAGTGCTCGGTCTCCTGTATTCTTTGACTGAGGTATGCTGATGGGGGGGGGGGAGTAAACTCAATGCATTTGAGGACAGAGAATAGAGGGTCTCTTCTCTGCACATGGAAGGCATTTCTGCCTACAAAATATGGGATCTGCCATTGAATACGAGCTGTTCTCCAACTTTCAAAAAAAAAAAAAACATATAGAAAGACAGCTTTCTGTCACAGTCTTGTCAAAATACAAATTGTCCCGTCTTCTCTTTAGCAATATTATCTGGAAAACCTTTTCTTCCAACATTGTACTGCTTGGAAAAAAGAAATCTTACCTTAGTGGTGATGCTGGTGGGGTATAAAATGCAAACGCAGAGGGAAATGGTTGCTTCTTCAGAGCCTGTACAAGATTTGGTTTATATTCTGGATCCACACACCACAATGAACCTTTTCCGTTCACCTAGGAAACAACCCTGCATTAGCACTGATTACAGGCAGTTTCAATAGGACCATCAGATCTAAAAGTGTGTTACACTCCATAGGTGTTTGTTTAAAACACAACATATCACTATTTTTATGTTTAAAGACCTTAGGATGAATGTGAACACAGCTGGAGTCACACTTCTCTGAATCAATGTGGTCAATGGATCATTGTGGCATCATTACTGCAATCCCATCTCTTTGGCACTGTATTCATCTCTGGTAACAGCAGCAGAAGACCTATAAGGGAGCTGCCATTCCTACAGGTCTGTGCCTCTCCAGAAGATAGATTGACCTCAGAAATTTGATAGGAAAAGAAAGGGCTTGTAACTTTCCTCACAAGTGTTTTTCTTTTCCTCATGGCAGCACTGGGATCATATTTATGGACAAATACACAGTTAAAAACATTTAAATCTAATGTTCACCAACTTGAAAAATTTGGATTTTTTTTTGCCACTACCAAACTTAAAAAAACCAGCCTTTTTTTCAATACAATGGATACCTTCCCATGCCAAGCTTCTCCAACCTGTAACTATATTTTCATAAGATATTAAAAATTTAGTATTATTTATGTATCAGATTTATGTCCTGCTTTTCCTTCTGGAGCCCAAGATAACATACTGTCAGCCCCACGAGGCAGACCAGACCAGGAATTCAGCTCCACATGAAGGCTAAAACTATTTTCATTTAGATTGGCTATAAATTCTAAAAGTTTGATTGTGCTGTACCTTCCTTTCCTCCATCTTGTACTTCAGTGTCTTTGATGTTTAGTATTAGGATGATCAAAATGGAATAAATGGAATAACTTTTTGTTTACACACTTTGTAATACAGGGTTTGAAATGCAACCTTCCTCAAGTTGGAGTCATCCAAATCTGTTGGGCTACAGGTAGTCCTTAACTTAAGACGTAATGGAACCCAGAATTTATGTTGCACATCATGAGAGTTGTATCTTGAGGCACCCACGTGACCAACCCGATTTTACATTTTTTGCAGCAGTTGTTAAACAAACACAATGGTCATTGTCTGCAATGTTTTTTTCTCCCAGAAACTGGAAGTAAACACCAGTTTCCAGCAAATAATGTAAATTGTGGTCACATCACTGTGGGATGCTGCAAACAGCCATAAATGTGGGCCAGTTGCCAAGTGACCACAATGGGATCTAGTGACCAAGAGGGGAAGGTTTTTGGAATTTCAAATCCCAGTCGTAAGTATCTTTTGGGGGATCCATTGTAACTTTGAACAGTTGCTAAGCAGCCAGTCGTAACTCAAAAACTACCTGTGAATACAATGCTGATCATCTTCAGATAATGTATAAATCTAAAAAAAGTTGTTCTTCCTCAATTTTTGTCAACTAGTTAAACCTTTTGAAAGAGAAGGGGCGTTGTCTTATCTGAACGCCTTTTCTCAGCACGGAGATGGATAATCCACTAATGGGTTAACTTAATCCTCCTGCCCAATCAGATCAAGTCAGCCAAACTTGCCACGCCTGTCCTGGGCCTGTTTTCCCACTCTCGACGAGCGTGCAGCTATTGATTGACAGCAGGATGTGTTGGCTCACAGAAACTAACCCTAGGCCTAAGGACCTGAATGGGTGGGTGTGGATTATCCATCTCTGTGCTGAGAAAAGGCATTCAGGTAAGACAACGCCCTTTCTCCAGCACTAGAGATGGATAATCCACTAATGGGAACATACCAAAGCCCACTGTCCTTACAGGAGGGAAGGGGGCAAGTTTGGAACCGTGTCGTGGGGGACCACCTGCTGGAGAACCCTCCTGCCAAAGGATGCCTCGGTGGATGCATACCTATCCAGTTTGTAATGCCTATAAACGGTGAAGGGGAAGACCACGTGGCTGCCCTACACACTTCCTTGTTGGAAGCCTGCGTGGCCCAGGCCGCAAAAGTGGCTGCACTACGCGTAGAGTGGGCCGTGACACGACGTGGAACCGGCAAGGAATCAGACTGGTATGCCCCTGCAATGCAAGCTCTTATCCACCGGCCAATCGTGGAGGCCGATACCTTCTGACCCTTGGAAGAAGGGAGGAAGGAGACAAAAAGTGCCTCCGAGCTGCGGAAGGCAGCCGCTGTCTGCTTGATATAATAACAGAGAGCCCGGCTTACGTCCAGAGAATGCCATTGACGTTCCAGATCATGAGAAGGATTAGGGCAGAAATCAGGGAGAACGATATTCTGGGCCCTATGAAAAAGAGAATTGACTTTTGGGACAAAGATGGGGTCTAAGCGAAGGGTAACCCGGTCCTGGTGAAATACACACAGATCTTTCCGGACTGAGAGAGCTACATCTCAGAAATATGTTGGGCTGAAGTAATAGCCACCAAGAAGGCGACCTTAAGAGATAAGGATCTCATGTCGCATGAACTGAGGGACTCAAAAGGGGCTTTTGTGAGAGCCTAAAGGACCCGAGGCAATTCCCACGAGGGATATCTGTGGACAACAGGGGGCCTGATATTAGTAGCGCCCTTGAGGAAAGAACGGATCAAGGGATGTTGACCCAGAGAGTTAACAATGTCGCAAGTAATCAAGGTGGAGAGGGCTGCCACCTGTCTTCCCAAAGTGTTAGGTGCCAGTCCCTTATTCAGCCCCTCCAGTAAGTAGTCCAAAATATTCGGAACAGTCAATTCCGATAAGAGTAGTTGATGAGTGGAACACCACCGACAAAAATTCCGCCACGTGGCATCGTAGATGCGGTTGGTAGCTGGCCTACGAGATGCCTGGATTATGGCAATGACCCCTGGCGAACAAGACTCCTGGGATAGGAGCCGGCGTTCAAGTGCCAAATGGCTACATGGAGCCATTGAGGGTCCGGATGAATCAGATACCCTTGGCTCAGTGCTATCCGGTCTGGAGGAATTTTCCAAGGTCGCGACAGGGAAAGACCGACGAGGTCGGCGAACCAAGGTCTCCGTGGCCAGTAAGGGGCTATCAAGAGAACCTCTGCCCTCTCTTGCAGAAACTTGTGGATGACAGCTGGGAGAAGGGGAAGAGGGGGAAAGGCATAGAGGAGGCCTTCCAGCCATGGAACTCAAAGGGCATCTACTCTCTCTGCCCCCGGAGTTGGGAAGCGTGAAAAGAATCGCGGGAGTTGTGTATTTGTCTGGGAGGCAAACAGATCTACGATGGGAAGGCCGAATCTGTGGGAGATCTCCCTGAATAGATCCGGGTGCAGACGCCATTCCGAGTGGTCCACGGTTGACCTGCTCAAGAAGTCTACCCTTGTGTTTGCCTCTCCCAAGATGTGGTCTGCCCTGATTGAGGTGAGATTGGTCTCTGCCCAGGACCCCAGCTGCTGGGCCTTGCTCAGGAGAGCACGGGATTGGGTGCCCCCCTGCTACTTCACATGGGCCTTCGCCGCCATGTTGTCCGTGAGGACGAGCACATGTTGTTTCGCAATGCTGTGGCAGAAGTGGCAAAGGGCTAGATATATGGCCCTGAGTTCCAGCCAATTGATATTGTGCCTCAGGTCTGACTGAGACCATCGTCCCTGGGTCCACTGCGACTGATAGTGTGCTCCCCAGCCGCATAGGCTGGCGTCCGTCGTGATCATGAGCAGACCAGGCTCCTTGAAGAGAGACCCTCTGGCCATGGCGGGAGAGATCCACCATCTGAGTGAGTGCAGGACCTGAGGTGGGATCCTTACCTCTCAGGTGGAAGTGCTGGTCCCCTGCTTCTGATAGGGAAGCAGAAACCACTGGAGAGACCGTGAGTGTAACCTGGCCCAGGGAACGATTGAGATACATGTTATCATCTTTCCCAGAAGCCGGGAAAGACCGGAGGGTGACAGGGTCCTATCCCTGCAGACCTCAAGAATCAGGTCCCATATGCTGTCCCTGTGTTCCTGGGACAGATAAACCCGACATTCTATTGTATCTATTATGGCCCCTAAGTGGAGCAATCTGGTCAATGGTACCGTCTGACTTTTCTTGAAGTTGACCGAAAAGCCGTGACTCTGTAGGACCTTGATCACCAGTCTCAGGTCCGCCTGAGCCCCCAGGGGAGAGGACGACTATATTAAGATGTCATCGAGGTAACATTGCACCCGAATCAGTATCAACCTCAGGTGTGCAGCTAGAACCGCCAGAACCTTGGAAAACACCCTTGGGGCCGACGACAGTCCGAAGGGGAGTGCGCTGTATTGATAATGATGCCCCATGTAACTGAACCTGAGAAACTGGTGGTGGCCGGGGATGATAGGGATGTGTAGGTATGCCTCTGTGAGGTCTATGGATGTTAAGATATCCCCCCTTTCAGATGCTGCCTAAGATGGACTGAAGTGTCTACATTTTGAACCTCCGGTACATCAGATAGAGGTTCAGGCCTTTTAGGTCTAAGATTGCCCTCCATCCTCCCGAAGTCTTGGGGACCACAGAGAGAATGGAGTAGAATCTGCAACCTCGTTGAGCCGGAGGTACCAATTCTATGGCCTTTATGTCTAATAAGTGATGGATGGCCTCCTGCATGAGACCTTTCCTTAGAGAATTTCTTGATTGGGGGCAAGGAATGAACCATCGTGGTGGACTGGAAATGAATTCCAAAGATAGGCCGTGTTGAACGGTGTCCAGGCCCAGGTGTCTGTGGTGGTGACCTTCCATTGAGTGACCAATAGGGAAAGCCTTCCCCCTATGGGAGAATCCATTGGGGAATCACTTCCTGCGGAAGGGACGTCCCCCGCCTCAAAAGGGCCATTTGGACTGAAACTGCTGCCTGGGTCTTGAGGCCAGCCTGTTGACCGGACGGTCCTGTCTGGGAGTGAAGGGCCATGAAGGTTGCATGGTTGGAGGAGTAGTGGCAGAACAAAAGAACTGCCTTTGGTTATAAGGAGTAGTCCGCCTATCGGACCGTTTGGCAAGGTGGGCCAGAATCTTCTTTTTGTCCTTATTCTCCGTTAGAAACAGGGCTAAGGCATCCCCGAATAATTTACTACCTTGGTACGGGGCTGCTGCTAGCCTCCACTTGGACTTAG